ACCACATTAATGCCTTCATATTTTAAATTTATTCTCAATCCTTATAACCTTTTCCCTATCAACAAATATTTTTAAACACAAAAGAGATAAAAAAGCCCTAACAAAAAAAAAAAAAAAAACAAAAAGTCTAAGGAAAAATTAAAAAAAAAGAAACTTCTAAAATCTTAAGGATATTGTGGTCACTTTTACAGTCAATGAATTTGAAATATAATCCTATAAGAAAAATTAAAAGGTATAAATACAATACAGCTTAAAATATAAAATATGAGTTTTTTTATTTTGAAATATAGGGTATCAAAATAAAGAAAAAGACGTACTTGATTTGATGAACTATGACATACATACACATCTTATGCGCTATGGAAACTGTATTGAATTTGGAATGAACTAAATCATGCACTTTGGATTAATTTTTGAGCGCGTACACACATAAACATTCAGATTTATAAAGATATTGATTGCCATTTGTTCCCAAACATATTCATGACTATGGGGCTACCTGGGTTTGGAATTATCTTTGACAAGGTGTGTTCTGAAAGTTTGTCGTTATAGTAACCAACACAAGAGACTCACAATAATGGAAGGGATCGATTGTGACATGACCGTCATGATCAGCTATCATGTGTGTATATATGTATATGTGTGTGTATATATATGTTTTATATTAATATAAATTTATTATAATGGATCGAGACTGAAATATCGGCTTGTTTAGTTTACTGATTCGAGTTTTTAATTTAAGTAGGGATGTCAATTTATGTGAAAGCTTTTTACTGTAATAAAAAAGTTAGATGCGACTGCTTTTGAGAGCTTTTTATTGTAGCAAAACTCGAATTCTAAACTCGAATCGGTGAAATGAACGGGGATAATATCTAATGAATCCATGCTCCTATATAACTCTGCGGTCACAAGCATTAGATTAGATGAAAACTAGGTTACTTAACGTCCACAGTTCATTTAAGCAGTAAAAAAAATAAAAAAGTTTACAGTCCAAATAGATTAATATGAGTTTTCAGTGATTACAAATTTCTATTGGTGTATGATTACTATAAATAAATTATACAAATAAGTGCATATCTTAATTGCATTTGGTGATCATGTAATGATTATATATAACTTGTTATAATATGTTACTTGACAACTGAACGTTAAGCATTAATTAAAAAGACTACCATAAGCTTATTAATATATTGTTGTAAATTTTTTGGTTAACTATTCAATTTGTTATAATTGTCCGATTTATATCACATGGTTAATTAAAATAACAATACTCGTTAGATAGTAAATATTGAAGTAATCATTAAAATCATATTCTTATATATATATATATTATGTGTAGATGAATTTTTTATAGTTACGTATACATAAAAAGTTCTTATTCAAAATGCATGTTAATACACACATATCCTAATTAAAGGGTAAAGAGAGCCTCCTTAATTAATTCAAGGTAAAGCTTTTTTTTTTTTTTTTAAGTGGTAATTTAAGGTAAAGCTCAGTACCATATTTGTGCTATATATAATATACGTTTCAAAAGACATAACAATGTTAATTAATAATAAATCAAATCGGAGGATTCTCTTATCATACCTTTTCATAAGACAAAGCCTTGTACTATATTTAATTTATATATTTCTCTTAGTTTATAGTTTATTCTAATTAATCAGGCTACAACGTTTTTGGTAACAATGCGCCATGATGCTTTCATGTTAATTTTCCTATCTATTCCATCACTTTTGTCTCACAAATGAAGACAACGAAATGGATCGCCATAGTATTGGTTAATACAATACTATATATATATGGCAGACAAAAACTTTATTGCAAACTGTTTTTGACGTCCATCCTTTGATAGTAACATTAATTTGCTGTAAAAGCTTATGATAAAAAATAGTATACAATTTCAGCCAGTAAAATATGGAATGTGGCCATGTTAATTATTTTGAATGAAAACGATGCATCCAATAGTGTAGAACCACCGAGAAAAAAAAAATATTTTTCCCTCTTGGATTAAGGGTAGAACCGAAAGCATCTTGCTTTTTGTGGTAGTATATTTAAATCACTAATCAGTAGAATTGTCAACTGTAAGTAAAAAGTTAAACAAGCAGGACAATTCGGAATTAAGAATGATTTAATTAATTCACCACATTTTGAATTTTAAATTAATATCATACAATATGTGCCCATGTTAATTATAATGGATGAAAACGATGCCTATAATAAGGTAGAACCGAAAGCATCTTGCTTTTATTGGTAATATATTTTTAATCACTAATCAGTAAAATCGTCAACTGTAAGTAGAAAGTTAAACAAGCAGGGAAATTCCGAGTTAATTAGAATGATTTAGTTGATCCACCACATTTTCAATTTTAAATTATATATTGTATTATAATATATATTATTTATATATATAAACCTTGGAGGTAATATAATTTTGTGTCCAATCGTGGGAAGGTTAAACATTAATGGAATCGGAGCCTCAAGGAATAAATAATACTAGATATTATGTTTACTCTTTTTAAAGTTTTTCTGTAGAACATTATTAGATTTTCTTGCGGCTTAATTTTATGAGCGTGGGAATATTCCCCTAGAAATTAAACTTGCTTATACAACTAGAATATATAATTGTTGGAGAAATGTAATAACGAAGTGAACATTCTCGACGCAAATTATGAGGATACACACACACACACACACACAAAGACTGATTATAAACAAATATAATTAGTATTCGTCGCTGTCCAACAATTTGAGATTTAATTTGGTAGAAAAGTTCCGCGTAATCTCAATTTATATATCCTAATTAATATGTTTGAGTAGCAATATTGCTTCCTACAAATGTCCATAAAGCTAGCTTATAAAGATATGTGTCACCGACATCACCGGTGATTTAGTAGTGAAGTAATTATAAACGTGTTTGTTTTTCTCGATGAGGTCTTATACTCAAGTACTCAATTCTACTGTAATTAGACGATTTACTTCATAAAGGTTCCATATACAATGGGAAACCCGAAATTATCTGAATAAACCATCCGCTGCCCTTATAACAAGCCCTCATTTCTTTTCTTCCCCTTTGATTCGTAAAAGCTTCACTTGTTGGCTCACGATGAATCAGGATTGATTATATGGTTTGGAGTTATATACGCTATATATGCTTTTTTTTGAGAATGGGGAGTTATACAAACTCACGGCATTTCTGTTTGTCTATTGATGAGATGTTTTCATCGGGACATATATATATATATATATATATATATATATATGTGCGCGCGCGCGCGACCGGCCCTAGCGGATTCATGACCTCTGAAAGTTGCACAACATAATCTATTTTCGCGTCAACAATCAAATTGTCTCACTAATTTGTAAACGACATTTTTGCTTTGATTTTATTATATTTTTTTTGTGGCAAATATTATGAGCAAAAGTTCCCCAAAAGCCAAAAATAATAATGTTGGTACCGGGGGCGTCAAGCAACGACCCGACCTGGCCATGTTTGTGCCACGTGAACTGCATATGCATGCAGATTCCAGAATAATGACTATATATATATATATTATACACATCGAGTGATGGGGTACTCACGAGCAGATGTCTAAAGGCAGCATAATAATATTGATGGTCGTCGATCAATTATATTATATCTTTAATCACAAAAGATGAGGTCATATATATTATAGGAGGCCATATATATTGTCTAATATCATATCACGATTGTATGTTTCCTATTTGTTGTGTGACAACAGTAACCCCAAAAATTAAAAAATTCAAAAAAAAAAGAGCATGGAAGAAACAAAAGGGAAAATGGGGAATTCTAGCTTATTGTATATGTGTATAGGGAAATTAGATTATTATATATAATTACCAAAGGAATTACAAAAGAAGACCCATTTGGTTAATGTCTTAGGGACAATCCCAAAGCATTATTATCGTATCGAAAGAGTGCTAGGGTTCACATGGGACAAAGATGTTAAAAATCTAACCGGAAAGTACCAAAAGAAACTTTACTACTTTTCAAGGAAATGACCAAATATATATTCAAGTGAAAAGCATATTCTACTTTATACATGAATTTTTTTTTTTGGAGGATGAGGGACAGAATTACCCTTCCCCATGTATGTGTTCTTAAAGTACGCAGTTGTTTTTCTCCGATTCCTTAGTGATATAAAGAGAAACCTTAAGGCTAAAACGAATTGTTGGGTCCCGGGTGCCCTAATATTGCTAGGCCTATACCATAGAATCAAGCGACGTTTCACCAATTCCGAAAAACGGCAATTTGGTCTTGTAACCTAAATAAGAAGGGATATTGTCCTGTAGTGAATAGAGATTAGGACCAAGAATGGGGTGGGGGATATAGGAGGGAAGAGGAGATTGTTTGATTTAGATGTTTTTCTGCTTAAGGACAAGACAAAGGCACATGGATGAGAGGAAGGGCCCTCTCTCTCTCTCTCTCTCTTCATTTCATTGGAACCCCCCTCTTTAGTTTTATAATTTTCGGAGAGTTAGTTAGACTGAAGTTGTATTAGATGCCTTTCCTTTCTTCCATTTGTTTTCTTTTTGTAGAGGACAAGATGGTCCTTTCCATTTTTGTTCTTTCCTTTGTCCACTACAAAACACTCACTCCCCTTTCACTTCTTGTCTCCTTCAAATTAACACTCACCACTCAAAAAGCTTTTTCATAAAATCACCACTGATCTCTCTCTCTCTCTCTCTCTCCATATATATATATATATATAGATATATCTATACATATAATTTTATATAAAGGTTTGAGGCAATTATTTGTCACCATCTCGTCCGTCGATCTCTATAAATACTCACAAAGCACCATCATAAGTTTCTCGCCTCATCTTATCTTTGCTATGTTGTCTAACAAGTATTAATACTACTACAACTAGCTATCACCACTATTCTCCACTAAAAGTAGTTAAAATTCTAAAACGGTATCCTTTTGGTACTAGTACTTCTAAAAAACAGCTGATCATCATCATCATATCATTATCGGCTTTAACATCTTTCTCTCTCTCTAAACATAACTATACTTTTTTAATTTTACTATGCCTTCTAGATCAGTACTTCTCAGCGAGGCCTTCAAGTCTCACCCCGTCCATCTCCACCACAAACACGCCGACTTCAGCTCACTGCAGGAGTTGCCGGATTCCTATGCATGGAATCAACCGGACGACCACCCTTCCGACCGGTCGATATTCGCCTCCAAGTCCATCCCGGTTGTCGATCTCAACGACCCGAATGCCCTCAAACTCATAGGTCATGCATGCAAAACTTGGGGAGTTTTCCAAGTCACCAACCACGGCATCTCCACCGAGCTCCTCGACGACATTGAGAGCGCCGGCCGGAGCCTCTTCTCTCTTCCGCTTCAGCAGAAGCTTAAGGCGGCTCGTTCTCCCGACGGCGTCTCCGGCTATGGCGTCGCTCGGATTTCCTCCTTTTTCCCTAAGCTCATGTGGTCCGAAGGCTTCACCATCGTCGGCTCCCCGGTTGACCATTTTCGTCAACTTTGGCCCCAAGACTACTCCAAATTCTGGTACTACTACTAGCTAGCTCATGCATGCTTAATTTTTCTAATTTTTGTGCGTGTTTGTAGTGGTACCGAAAGCGCGTATGAACCAAGCAAAGACCCTACTTTGATTAAAATGGTCGGAGCAGAGTCAGCATACTAAAAACCGCAACTAATAGAAAATAAACATCGCATTGTAAAAATCATGTTATATTAATGTGTAGTGTTAAGCACGATTGGTGCGATAAGTGCCTTTTAACATGTTTCCATTTTGGCCATATTTTCTATCTATCTATTTCTTAGTCTTTACCTACATAAATATTCAGCTAAAGATTGTAATGAGAGCCGTGGACCCTACATAGGAGATATGGTTCGATAATATCAAATTAAAAGGGAACACAAATTGTCTTGTTTGTTACACTGTTTTACTTTGCTCAATATCCATTATGCACAGCGTCTAGCTAATTTTGCTTTTCTTTTTTTTTTTTTTTTTTTTTTTTTTTGGGCCGGTATGTAAAGTGTTACTGATATTATTGTTTTTCGTTCGACCACTAGCGTTTGATGTTGTGTTGTGTTGTGTTTGTTTTCAAGTGATGTAATTGAAGAGTACGAGGCGGAGGTGAAAAGGCTGGCTGGGAGGCTGATGTGGCTTATGCTCGGCTCCCTAGGGATATCCAGGGCCGACATCAAGTGGGCCGGCCCAAAAGGTAATTTTAAAGGGGCCAGTGCTGCTCTACAACTAAATTCCTACCCGGCTTGTCCGGATCCGGATCGGGCAATGGGTCTGGCCGCCCACACCGATTCGACCCTGCTCACAATTCTATATCAGAACAGCACAAGTGGGTTGCAGGTGCTCCGGGAGGGGACCGGGTGGGTTACCGTTCCGCCTATTCACGGGGCATTCGTTGTCAACGTGGGTGACCTGCTCCACATTTTGTCAAACGGGTTGTACCCTAGTGTCCTACACCGGGCGGTCGTAAACCGGACCCGGCACCGGCTGTCCATTGCCTACCTTTATGGGCCCCCATCTAGTGTCAAAATCTCACCGCTCCCAAGACTAGTAGGCCCAGGTCAACCCCCGCTCTACCGGCCGATCACTTGGACCGAGTACCTTGGCACCAAGGCAAAGCATTTCAACAAAGCACTTTCTTCTGTCCGGGTTTTTTCTCCTGTAAATGGATTGGCCGATGTAACTGATCATAACACAGTAAAAGTTAACTAGTGAAAATATTTTTTCAATTTAAAAAAAAAAAAAAACTTGTGAAAATTTGATTGGCCAGCGCTGTGGTTGGAACTGTCATTTCTTGAAGGACTAGAATTATTGTTGTGCTGACTCTATGACAAAATTATATACGTCGTACTATTATGTGATAGTATATAGATTAATTGGTCTCACACCTCCTACAAAATTATTGGTAAAGCTGACCTTTTGACGAATAATATACCGTTATTCGATTTGTAAAGGATTACTGTGATTAGATTTGCAATCAAAAGTTCGAGTGCTGAGTGGTTTAAAAAGTTTGTTGCTACTTGATTTAGCATGTACAGAACCATGTCCAAACATACCATGAACTCTTAAAACATTTGGCAGAGCTGGGGTGAGAGCGGCTCATCGAGGGGGTACAACCCGTGGTTATGACATTCAGCGAACATTCCTATCAGCATTTAAGGCCCTGTTCATTTCGCTGATTCGAGTTTTACTACAGTAAAAAGCTCTCACAAACAGTCACATCTAACTTTTTTGCTACAGTAAAAAACTCTCGCATAAAATCACATTTTAACTCGAATTAACAAATCGAATCAGTGAACTAAACGGGCCAGATACTCCCTTTAACAACATCAAGGTGAGTAGCTACCGTCGATCGCCTTGTCCCCAAACTTTATTTTAACAAAAAAAAAAAAAAGAAAAGAAAAGGTACTCTATTAGAGCATCTTTTATGTTTTTGGCTCATGCCAAAATTTAGCATATGAGTAAAGTAAGTTTTGCTCTCTAATGATTTGCTTATTAGTTTAGCATAAACTTTTAGTATATACTAATATAGTACATACTAAGAACCGATCACGCATCTCATTGTGAGTTTTTACATTGGAATGGCCTTAGTAGATAGTATATTACTATTCATAATTAGTGTCACACAAGTACGTACGTTACAGCATATATAATTAAGCTAAAGTAAATTTTTGCACGGTTTATTTGCCCGGATTATTATGGCCACAGAAAATTAAAGTTGGTTTTATTACGTCAGATTGGAATGAAAATGGCGCAACAGGATTGGTTAAACTAAATCATCATATGGATCAGGCACATTCAAACAAAATGTCTCTACTGGTATCTTTTGTCCTCGTGTTGAAAGAGATAGGGGAAGAATTGCCCAATTTGAACATTCCAATAAAGACACATAAACCGACAGCTTTTTTTTGCCCCGGATATGGACGAGATCCCCCAATCCAATACATACGACATTGTTAAGGATTTTTTTAATTAAAAAAAGTAAATAAAATGTCATTAGAGTGTTAATCTCATTTTAAAGTTCTCGAACTATATATCAACTTTTTAAAAAAAATTTCAGAACAGATACTCGATTTATAAAATCGTCTTAAATTAGTCATTTTATTCATTCAATTATTAAATTCTCAACAAAAAAAGAAACGTGAGGACCATGTGCAGTTTTTGTAAGAGTTAATTTTGCAATGTTAAGAGAAGAGACATACCTTCTTCTATTGAGATTTTAACAGTCAAATAGACAAAATAATTAGTTTAAGACAATATGATTGATCACAGACTGACGTTTTAAAAATTAAAAATCAAATTCACACTTAACAAGATTAAAAATTAGTTAAACCTAAATATCTTCGACATAGATCTTCAAGAATCATCGAGAATCACTCGACAAATCGAGGAGTTCGTATGCCAATCCACACAAGTCCATACAAATATAATATAAACAAAAGAAAAAGAAAAGGAGAATATGAGGCTACGAGGCTCTCTCGATTGAAAGAAGAAGAAGAAGAGGGAAGAAGAAGAGGAGGAAGAATTTGTCGCTTGTGATATCTGTTTTCTCTGCTTGCAATTCAAAGAAGAGTTCGGAGTTATTGTAAAGACATAATACACTTTGTCAGTCACATATATAATTTCCATGATTCAAAAGCGTTCCCTTCATTTGGTCATGGAAGGTAATGTGCATTGTCACTGCAAACCATGTGCTACTTACCAACACAATTTCAGAGAAAATCTGACCCACTGACCCAATGCACTCCTTATCATTCATGGGGATAAGGCAGTTTTTGCCATTTCGGCTTTTGTTTTTTTTGTTTTTTTGTTTTTGCCTTTTTTTTAATAACCTTTTGAGCGGTAAACTGCGTTCGAGTTCCAGGTTACCCAAATAAGGAACTTTTCAAAAGCAACATTATGAAAAGGAGGAGTTTTTTTATTTTTTATTTTATTTTAAATAAACTATTAATAATTTTCTATTTTTTAGTTATTAAATTGTATTAAAAACTGTTTATTTTATATATTTTTTTACTCTGATATATTTTTGATTAAATTCAACTGTTAAACATCGACACTACTGATAAAAAGACCTACAAGAGAAAATCATAAAATAAAAAAAAGCAACAAGAGAAAAAGAAGAGAGGGTAATTTAAAATTGGATCGTTATGTGTTGATCTTTTTGAATAGCACCTATTGTTTTACAACAAGTGTACGGTGAGATTGATGGGAATGGTAGAGCAAGTTTTCTACGTATTGGACAGTAAAGTCAGAATGTACTTTATTTATCTAGTTACCATTATGAGTATCACATCACTTAAAGGAGGTACATTTGGTCTAGTGAATATAATGAGATAATGATGTATGTAGTGTCTCAATTCTATCTCTCACGAATGAGGGCTTATTGACATGTGGATGCAGGCTGTTTGTACAAATTTTTTTTTTTTGGCTGTTTGTACACATTATCTGGACTTTTCTACCCCTATTTGGATGGATAATGTTGGGACTACAACAACTTGTGTAGCTCAGTGGTAAAGAGTGCTGTATTCCGTTGGGTCAAGGATTCGAGTCCGGTCTCGTTCACTTTGTGGATTTGAGTTTTTAATTTAAGTTGAGATGTGACATTTTCAGAGAGCTTTTTACTGTAGCAGAAAAAGTTAGATGAGGCATTTTCTGAGAGTTTTTACTGTAAAAACTTAAAACTGAAAACTCAAATCGGTGAAATGAACGAAGCCTTTATATAATTATAACTTTACCCCCTCAAGATTTAGGTGCTAAAATAATGCCAGGGTTAATTTAGATATGTAGAAAAATATTTTGCCCTATTGGTTAAATACGTTAGATTCTTAAAGACATAAAGAGGTATTTTTATATATATAGATCCGTCTCACTTACTGTAACAGTAAAGTTATAGTAAAACTATTATAGTAAAACTATTAAAGCTGTTAGATCGAGTATTATCATGTTATTATAATCTCGTATTATTATAAATGTTATATAGAAAAACGAATGTTCATATGTTTTTTTAACATATCTGGTGTTTTAACTTTGTATTTATTTATTTTTTTCATGAAATGACATCGAGCATAAATAATCTTTGTAATGAAGTCACTATTTCCATTCTCTTGTCACAATTATCATAATCTATAGTCTCTATAATCTCATGTTATTATCAACATTACATAAGAAATTACCTATGTTACATAACACATTAAACATTAGTCCTAATATAACTACGGTAACATTACTGTAACTAACACTTAGGTAAGTGAGCCAAAGATTCTTTATCATACTTAGAGTGCATTTGGTTGGTGGATTCGTGCCATAATTCGTGGTTTGCTACAATATTTTCTCTCATAAAAAACACACATAAATTGAGAATGGTTCTAAATCATGATTATGAATCTATGAACCAAACGTCCCCTTAATAATCCTTTTTAACAAAGCTATATATATATATTGAAGCATAAAATTAATTCTAGTTTGACTCGCTAGAAAATTAGTGTTAGAGAGACTCCACATGTGAAATTGGCTCAATACATTTTAAAAGTTTAACTTGACCCAAAAGGTTAATCAATTAGGTTTTAGGTCATTCCATGTATATAAACTACTTTACATTCTCATCCACTTCCATGTAGGACAACACACACTAGCACATCCAAGCATCACACTCCAAACGGGAGTCAACTCTACCTTGGAAAAGAGAGCCGAAACCATATGAGTCCACCAATGCTCCACCATCCGCACCTGTAATAGCACCAACTGCAAGAACACTAATTCTCCACGAGAGGCAATGTGAGGACTACAACCGAGTATGATCGCTTGGCCCATACGAACCGTCGGCTTTGATGCCACTTATTAGGAGACTCCACATGCGAAACTGACCCAACACACTTCAGGAGCTTAACTTGACCAAAAAAGTTAACCTATTAAGTCTTGGGTTATTCTCATTTAATTTTCATGTGAGACAACACACATGCACTTTTCTCAACAACTAAAAACTAAACTAGAACAGAATATCATTATACATAGCTGAATCTAGGTGGGGTGAATGAGAAGATAAAACAAATCTTGGTCGACATGAAATTAATATTACAAATTTTTCTTCAATATACGTATACACACACACACACCTAATTTTTGTTGTCATGTGTTTTTAGTTGGGTGTTTGGTATTTTAGTTAAATTAGGTGAACGATGCAGCATTATTGTTCCACGCTTCTTTGTTTTCATACACAAAAGATTATCTGTCTTGCAGCGTCTTGATTATCAACTATAAAGATTAAACTCTTTTGTTTGTAGCGAATATCCGAATCAATCTCGATCAAGTCCAAGATATTATTAATTAGCTGGATTGATGATTTTAGTTTTATTTTTTCTTCCATTCACATGAATGAGAATTAATATGTACCACTGAAGTAAGTTCATTCGTGTTAACATCAATCTTTCATCAATGGTTTCAATTAGAGTTTTATTTAATTTTCATATAAATATTCGCATTCAAATTGGATCAAAAACTACTTTTTGGAATGGGAAAATAGGGGAAAATCTTGGTTTGTGTCTGATCCAACTTTAGCAAATCTAAAGAGATTGTCAAAATTATATATAGAGTCGTCATTTTTCTCTTTTAAAGATTGTGTACCGCATATCGTGCTAACTACTGAATGCCAAGAAAATCTTTGCGCTTCAATAATGTCTCTTCAAATGATTGCACTCCCTTTAGTCCTAAAATCGAGAAAATATTGATTGAAATAACACTCG